AGACTATAATGATTATATCTGATTAATTACTACTTCACATATCATTAGAAGATGTTATTTAAACACAATTGCTTGTTCCATATGATGTCACCCATAGTCAATGTTTAGATATGACTACTTACTCTGTTACATGTACTGCTAGTAGATAATGTTTAATCTTCTTTCCTTACTCCTTTACATATACTTATAAAAGTTCAGACTTGGTTCTGAGCCTCTGCCATTCAAATCTGTTCATAACCTGTCATGTTCTGGGGGCACTGCACATCATTGCAAGCTGTCTTCTCGACACAACTCCATTCTGTCCATAGATTGGTTTCTCACTCACTGGTCTGTTGTTCTGCTTTCTCATTGTTCCTTCCCCTTTTGTTGCCTTGCAACATCCCTTTTTGTCAACTTTCTCTTTTCTGGTCTCCTGTGCCTCAATACTCAGCTCTGGCTGTCTATACCTTCACCCTGGTCTGTCCCATCTTTATTACTATGCATGTTTTCTTCTCCATCTCCTCCTTCAGCTCCTTGCTCAATTTTGGGACACCTCTTAAGGGGTTCCTTTGGTGTTCCCTCACAATCTATCCCAACCTTATTTATGTTACTCCACTTCCACGAGTCTAAGCCCTGTTTTCCCCTTCTCAACTTCCCATCCCTTTTGATCCACTCTCACACATTGCTCATTTCTTGAGATATGACATTCCTTTATAATTGTGTGTGTGTGTGATTGTTCAGTCCACTTCCCTGATCATATAGTTTTCCTTTTGTCCCAGTCCTTTTACCCTTATATCTCTTCTGTGTGCCAATGAATAAGACGTACTTATCACCTTGGTCTCATTGTCACCATTTCTCTTTGACTTCATTACACTGTAACGTATTTTTCTTATTTCACGGGATGGTTCTTCCATGATCTCTAAGTCTCTTCTATCTCAGGCTTTAGGGTGGCATTTCAGTTACAGTTTCCCTTCTTCTCTGCCTCTTTTCTACTCTCTTTCATTCTTTCCTTATCCACTGCCCCACCCCCCTCCTACTTCTTGTCTCATTGGATTATCAATTTGGTTCTCCGTGCTCTTAACTGGGTCCCTATCAAACCTCTAGCAGATGTTTCTGCTGTACTTGGACTCATGAGCCCTATTTCTACTTATTGCTGATAGTTGTTGTACACATATCTACTCCCTTGTTTCCTACCACTTTCTCATTACTGCTCTTCCCCTCTCCTTTGTTCTGGCTGGTCTTTCCTTCTCTTATATTCCATAGCAGGAGAAAGTGGTCACACCTTTTTTTCCATATCTTTTTTCTTTTTGATGTTATTTGTGTTCTGTACAGATGCTCTTGTCCTGTCCAGACTGCTCAGTGTTTTGTCACACTCTTCCTCCTTGTGGTTACTCACTGTTCCTTTATGACTGGAACACCTCCTCTACCTGGTCATCTCTCCTTACCCCATTATGGATTGGATCCACCAGCTCATATGATTTAACTATTTCCACTATCTGACTGTCTTGTTCCAGTAGTATAAAGACTTCCACCAATGGCCATTCTACAGTTAACCCACACTTGTAACAAATGTGAGTATTTGTTTACTTATTCCTTCCTCACACTTTTGGGTTCCACTAGGTGGCCAGTGTTGCCTCACAGAGCATACTTATCCAAAATTCCACATTGGGCCAGCATAACAGAAAACACTCAGACCATCTGCTCTGGCCCAATCAGTGCCAACTGTGAGATGGGGTGTTTCACAACATCACTGGAGTTCTACTCATGGTATTTCTATGTAACTTTTCTAGTCCGATCCAGACTGTACCCGTTCCATTGTCTATCATAGAAAAAGCCAGCACAAGAGTCATGTTTCTGCTTGCTTCTCTGGCTAGGGTTTTGCAGGTGCTCATGCACAGAGTCTCATCATGCTCATCTATGTAATTTCTACATCAGTCCCTCCACCATTTCAACATGAAATTGTAACTAATTTGTGCATGAAGGTGAGTCATCGTATTGGAAGTTAACATTTTCCTTATCTAAAAATGTATTTCTGATAGATACTCACCACCATGCACATTCTCACCCTTACTCCCCACTTTCCCAGTACACTTTTCTTATCAAAAAATAAGGATTTTCACACATGAACATAGAGGGAGTATTTGTGCAAGGAGGTGTTTAACTCTCCTATTTGTAGAGGGTTTTGCTGCATGATACATGGTACTGCAACTTCACATATTTCCATGTGAATTTTAGGTGGGAGTTTTACAAGGCTGGTGTTGTGCAAATCTCTTAAGGCAACATAATGTGACGTCAAGAGGAAAATAGCTAATCTGTGCATGGAAGTGAGTATCTATCGAAAATACATTTTCAGGTAGGGAAAATATCAACTTTCATTTAACATTTAGCACTACTTTTTACTTTTTCTTTTCTTTTTTGTATTAATTTATAGCACAAAGTCAATTAAACAGCTCCACATAGTCTTTCATATGATTATTCATATTGTTCATTTTTGGAATTTGTTAACTGAAAAAAAGGGAGAATTAAATATGAACTTGATCTAAAATGGAAATGAAAGTAATTCTCACTAGTTCCAACATCATCTACTTTTTGTTTGTTTTAAACACAGTCACTCAGTGAGTTATCCATGTTGTGGCCACCACAGAGATTAAACTGAAATTTAGTGCTATAAGGAGGGCATTATTTTTTTATAAACTGGCCAACAGTTATTTCATGATGCATTTAACAGGGTGTATATGCATCCTTGAAAGACCATGAAATTGAGAATCAAATTTCAAGGGCTTGAAAGGGGGCTTTTTTTTTGTAAAAGTACTTGAAAATATTATAACAGCACAATATATTGATATATCTAACTTTAGTGCAAGTTGCGAAGTTGAGCACAATAAATAGTGTTTCTTTTCTTTTTAGTCTACATTCATATGTTGAACAAATAAATAGGAATTTTATAAATTGATTGATTTTGATGTAAACTTTAGCTTCCAAAAAATGCTTGAAAAACATTCTGAGAGTGCTTAGAAATTCCTAGAAAAGTGCTTGAAATTGATCTGAACAATTCAGTATGCACTATGATTTAATCCTTCTAAATTTTTTCAAGATTATTTAGTTTCCAAAGCATATAAAAGGTTAAATTAATCACTTCAATTTTGTTTGCTCACACCCTTCACTAAGTCTGAATTATTTGAGTGTAAATAGCCTTTGTATGTGCTAATGAAATAAATTGTTATGTACCTTATAGAAAGTCTCAGTAATTGAATATAATTTTCAGTAATAAAAAATACTTGTGTTGTTTGAATATTTACTGCACTTCAATGTAATTATTACAACTCTAATGCAAAATAACACACAGAGCTACATTTTTTATCTCAATCATATGTAACATGCAAAAACTCGTACATTTAATTTTAGGAAATATTTCATTTTTGAAGTCAATTTTATTAATGATTGTAAAACAACTATAGTTTGTACTATAAGTATAGTGAAACTACAAGCCAACAATATTTTCTTCAGATTGTGTGTATCATTTTAGGTAGTCTTTTCTTAGAAAAATGTATAAACAATCAGTGGCATGTTTAACATTGGTGCAATCAAAACAACATGTCGATGGGCCCCTCATATTGTAAAGCAAAATAAACTTGTAAATTTATATACCTATAGCTGATCAGTATGGATGGGCCCCCTAAGAAAATGCACCAGTAGTTTGAGGTGTTAAAAATTCCTTTGTTTACAATCATTGTTTTATTGGGTGATTATCATAGTTAACTGGCAGAACAGATTTGTAAAATATCTTGAAATCATATTTTGCATGAAACCATGCTTTTTTTTTTTAAAGAAAAAACGTCCTCTGATAAACAACTAACATTTTCCAAAAACACTGAAACAAAACAATAACATGCTGAAATATTCTATTCAAATCATTGAAACATCTTATTTTGTATGTAAACCAACATAATTTACTGATAACTGTGTATGGTGTTAAATTAAACACTTATATAGTCTAATATAACAAAACATAGTTATATTCTATTGAGTATTTAATTAAATACAATACATATATGAACACAATGGCAGAGTTTAAAAAAATATTTTTTTTTGTCAATCAATGAATTATAAATTTCATTTCTTTTGTTAGACGTTTTTTATTGATTTAAGTTGAGCTGGCAAGGGTGATTAATACTGGAAACAGCAACCCTCATATCTGTCCAGTGTGAACTAGTGAAACTATTGTTTTGATTAAACAACGCAAAGTAAATCCTATCAATTCGTGAATCTGATCTGGTATTTAGTTGTAAAAGTATGTTTTACAAGTATATGTTATTTTGACAACTGTGGTGCCTTATGGTAGTAAGACATGTAAAAAATGTTTAAAAATAATAGTGTAAATTCATTCCATATTCCAAGAATGACATTAGTAGTTTTGTGATGTCTCATCTTCTTTCTTGTTAGCATTTTTTTTTTTAAATAGTAAACATTTCTTTAGCTTCATACTTCACAAATACTACTAGATTGGTGTAAATAGAGAAAGAGTCTTTGCATAAAATTTAGTTCTTGGTTATATCTTATGTTTAAAAGATTTAATACATTAGTTATCATCAGTGTATAGTTTTCACAGGAGAAAAGAAAAACATTAAAACTAGTATCATGAGCTTATGCATTTTTGATCAACTTAGAAATTTTAAATTTACTGTGAACTCTGTTGCTTGTGTACCAGTGGATGATTTTCCATGCCTAAACATCATATCTATTTAGGCATCAAGATGCAGTTTTTGTATGAATTTTGTCACAATATTATTAGAAAAGTTATTTTTCTTGTGAGCAAATAACCAAATATACAAATCTGTTATATAATTTATCCACAATAATTCATGCTGGATTGCTATCTAGTTCTTCTCATAGTTCACCCCTAAGGTGATTGTGTCTGCCTTGGTCATTAAAGTTACTTTCTATTTGTCTCATTACAATTTAATCATTAGGCATTGATGTTGAATCTTACCAGTAATACTATTGCATTTTTCTTATTACAGTTTAAGCCTCAAGCTGTAATTTTTGACCTGATCACCAACACCAAGTTTGATATGGCTATCATGGTTTTTATCATGTTGAACATGATTGTCATGGGTTTAGACCACTACAGACAAACAGAAATGTTTGAGCTTATTGTGGAAAGACTGAACATCTTCTTTATTGCTGTCTTCACTGCTGAGTGTGTTCTCAAGATCTTTGCTCTTCGATGGCATTATTTTAAAGAACCATGGAATATATTTGATTTTGTTGTTGTAACACTATCAATATTAGGTGGGTATAAACTCAGAAGTAATTAGGTCTAAATTAACAGGCTTTTCAGAGACAAGACAAAAGTATGATGTTAATGAAATTGTATTATTATATAAAGCAAACAGTAAAAAAAATATATATACATACATCAACTGTTGGTCTTTCTCGAATAGTCAGTACTTGAAAATATGCTCTTGAGAACAATTTGGTGCACTGAATGAGCATTTAATTGATTTAAAGTATTTGTTGTGAGTTAATGGTGGAAAGTGTATTTAAGACTAAGTTCATATGACTTACAACATGCATATATTTGTCAAGGGAAAATTAGCTGTTAAAATGTCTGTTGTTTTAAGTTATTAATATGTGATTAAAATTGTGTTGTAGTTTACTTTTTTTGCACTTTTCATAACTCATAATTTTGTCCAGTACTGCAATTAGAAGTTGCTTAAATAGTTTATTCTATAAATACCTCATACATGTTGTACTAGGTTTTTACATTATAAAGAATATCAATGAGCTTATGAGTTTTGAATGTTATATTTCCCACTATGCACATACCAGCGTCCCATTCATTATATTGTTAACTTAGCTTTTACATGAAATAATCTTATATTTATTTCTCAAACTTTTAATTGTTTCATTTTCAAAGACAAAGTACAGCCAGTACCTAAAATAAATAACCTAAAGGAGTACCAGTGCTTTGGATTTTTTTAATACTTCCAAATAGACTCTGAACATATTAAGATATTTCATAACACTAAATTTCAATAATAATTTATAGTCTTGTGTACAGGAATAATACCTGTGAATAAAAAATTATTTGTTTATTGTGAAGTATAAATACAGAATCAAGATTGTCTACTTGCCAGGTGAACAAAATTAGCATGTTCTATGCATGATGTTGCCTAAGGGCATATAAAGGGTAAAATTGGAAACTTTAATAAAGCATCTAGACGTTTTAATTTTAAAAGATGTAGCAATCAAGCTTTAGCTGTCTACTTTACTACCAGGTGCAGTAGTAATTCTGGTTTTAGTAAACATGAAAAATAAATCGATTTGCAGGTCATTGAGGTTGATTGCAAGTTTGAATAACAGTTATAAAATTGTTAACATAGTGGTTCATAAACGAAAAGAAAAATAGAATAATTAAAATTTTATAATATGTATCTTAAATTGATAAACCAGTGATTATCACCTATATTTATTATCTTATTGATTCCACTCAAATTCAGCAATTAGTGAATATTTATCACCATTAGTAATTATCTAGATTTTTTACTCTACTCACACTTTCTTTTGGTCTTTTATGCAGAAGATAGAGTTTGAAAACCAAACTATTTCTTTGATTAGCTCATTGGTTCCACTCTTAAAAGATCAGCTTTTCCCTCTATTAATAATTTTACTCTTTGCTATAGATTTTCTCAACATTTTGAGTTACTTGATATAGTCAACATAAGAAATTCACTTCAATCTTTCTTTCAGACTCTGAAGTTTAAATCACTAACTTGGTGTTTCATGCTTCAGTTGTTAGTTATTTTTGCATGAAAGCTGCTGGATGTTGACCATAATTATTGTAGATAAGTTTTAAGTTGGGAAAGCAGATGTTAAAGCACAACATCAGATTTTGTTTTGTTTTTATGCTTCAAAGGCAAATAATATTGTTCTTTATTCTAAGGATTCTATTTAAATTCATCATGGAAAAGCTCTGAACTAATTCATTATGTACCTTGATTAAGTTTATGTTGTCAACAATAAATAGAAATATAGACAATAACTCAACATTTACTATACTGTTGGTTTTTAAACATCATTATTACAGTAATAAATTTACAAACAATAATTTATAAGCATAATGAAGAAAGATCAATGTTCCCCCCAATCTAAACCACTTCATTATGCTTATAGATCTTTGTTTTCCAGTTTATTATTATATTAGCACGAAATGCTTCCATACTCAAATATCATTACAATTAAGTACATTTTGAATACTGCTTCTAATACAACTGGGAAGTTCCTAACTATGATTCAGGCAGTGAAGAAAAAAGAAAGAGTAAAATAATCTAGGAATTCAATTTGCTTTAACTATTTCACTGCCATAGCCAGATATATATTTTCCTCTAGAACACTTTCATGTGAATTTGGAATCTTGCACCACAATGAAGAAAGAGAATGTTGCTTCAAACTTCCCAAAGTCTACCAGTTTTAATTTTTCATAAGTAATGAAAAATTAAAACATATTTTTGTTTTTTATTGCATACCTGACACTGGGATAGTAGTTTATCCATAAATGTGCCAATGAAAGAGTTAAAAATTTTATTTGTTCAACCCTAGGTTGCTTTCATTTAACTGATATCTTTGTTTCTGTGCTTATTAATCCCTTTCCTGCTATCCTATGCTTCTTTGCTTTACTCATGTTCTTCCATGAGATGTATATTGGGGCTTATATTGTCCAGTTTTTTGCTAACAACCTTACAACCTATTTTCATTTTTTGCACACCAAATGTGATTTAGTCATATGTTTGTGTGAGCAGTGAATGTAGCTACTACTACCTTTATGACAATTATGTTAAAAATATTGTTCTCTATATCATTGTAAAAGTAATATGCATTTCTTTTATTCACATTACTTAAGTTTGTGTGAATTACACATATAGATATTTGTTGGGCTCCTTAAAGCAACTTTAATATGTCCATTAGAATATACAAGAAGCTACTAAGTAAATCAACAAACTACTTATTTTATAAGTTATAAAATAAAAAGATACCGAGTCCATATTTACTACAAAATGTTTACTGGTTTAACAAACATAAGTTTTTATAATTGCTGAGATACTGTAGTAGGAACAGTAAAATGTACCACAACTTTCCTTGTTTATTACAAATAACAAATTTTTATTTAATTTTTATGAATACCTTTTGGTTTTTAGTCTATTATTTAACTTATACAATTCAGATAACTTATTGCTAAGATATTTGAACACTGAAGGTTTTATAAGTTCTTGCAAATAATTTTAACAGTAAGAACAGTCATAATATTTAACACAAAAGCCATTTCAGGCATAAGTTTATGTAATTTACATAATTACTGCCTCAATCATTCTCTTGAGACATTATTTATCTATGCATGTATGCAAATATTTCAAATGCTGTAACACTCATAGTATGGCTCTTTCTAGATCATTTTACTCTGTGGAGTTTGTTTTTTCATTTGTTTTTTTTTGGGGGGGGATTAAAACCAGCTGAAATATTTTGAAATTATATTTTTGAATTACCGGAACACCTAAAATTCTGAGATAATATGTAATTTTTTCTGAAACTAAATTCAAAATATTTACTTGGTAAATAATATATTAAATCACTTTTTATATGCTGCTATTAACCCTTCCTCTCCCATTGGTTAGGGTCCCTTGTGTGTATTTGTAGCAACTAGTACATATAAGCTAACCTCTAATTGCTAGAATTTTGTGTTAAACTAGCTAAGAAACTAAGCAAAAGCTTCTTTAACAGTATTGCTCTGATAGATGGCTACAAAATAACTTTGTGCCACACAATTATAAATAACATAATTGACAATTATTCCATTCTACTGTTGCTTTATCATCTTTTGATTTAAATTAATACTAGTTTTTCCCAATATGTGTTAAATAAATGCTGGATATTTCTTCAAAACAGACATTTTATAAGTCCATAAACAATTTTCATCTCACTAATCACACTAAAATCCAAAATTTGACCTAGAAAACTAACTTACTATGTTAAAGACACTTTAGATAGTTTTCACCTTAAAAATAAATTTTCATGATAAAAAAATATTGTTAGCTGTACAGTGGTTTAACTTTTAGAAATAACAAATCCTGAAATGTTTCTAATAAAATATAAAATTGTAACAATCACAACTGTCATGTTCAAGAAATTTATATTTTCCATACTATTTAAAACATTGTCAGACTTAAAGTCATGATTGTTATTTATGCTCTACTTTTCTCTCATTTAGGTGTTGGGCTCAAGGACCTGATTGCTGCTTATTTTGTTTCTCCTACCCTTCTTCGTGTAGTCCGAGTTGTTAAAGTAGGTAGAGTGTTAAGATTAGTGAAGGGAGCTCGAGGGATTCGGACCCTGCTTTTTGCCTTGGCCATGTCTTTACCTGCTCTCTTCAACATCTGCCTTCTTCTTTTTCTTGTCATGTTTATCTATGCTATTTTTGGTATGGCTTTTTTTATGAATGTGAAACACCGTTATGGAATTGATGAAAACTTCAACTTTGAAACTTTTGGTCAGTCAATGATTATTCTTTTCCAAATGTCCACATCAGCTGGTTGGGATGGTGTTTTAGCAGCCATAATGGATGAGAGTGATTGTGACCCTTCTATTGACACCTCAGAGGGAAACTGTGGGAGCAGAAGTATTGCAGTTGCATACCTTATTTCTTATTTAATTATAAGCTTTCTCATTATCATAAACATGTATATAGCTGTTATTCTGGAGAATTACAGTCAAGCACAGGAGGAAGTTGAAGAAGGATTGACTGATGATGACTATGACATGTATTATGAAATATGGCAGAAATTTGATCCAGAAGGCTCACAGTACATTCCATATGAAAAGTTATCAGACTTCATGGATACTCTTGAGTTTCCCCTTAGACAACCTAAGCCTAACAAGTACAAAATTATTTGCATGGACATCCCTATCTGTGAAGGAGAACAGATGTATTGTGTAGACATTTTAGATGCACTCACTAAAGAATTCTTTGCTACAAAGGGTCATGTAATTGAAGAAAGTGCTGAGCTAGCAGAAGCAGTCCCATCCAAAGACAACAGAAAGTTCCAGCCAATCAGCAGTACTCTGTGGCGGCAACGGGAGGAGTATTGTGCACGTGTGATTCAGCAAGCATTAAGACATTTTAAAGAAAGAAAATTACTATATACAGACAAAACACAAACTGCCCTTGGTGTTGCAGCTAATAATTTTGTGACTAGTGATCATAAAATTGTGGTTTATTCACGGTCATCCAGTGAATCTAGTAGTACCACAGATGTGTGATAAGCACTAAATTTCATAGATGAAAATGTTTCAAACAAGAAGGCAGCCAACAGGTAAACAGGTATCAAGCTGTATTTTTGTATTCTTATGCAGAAGAGACCAAGACCATTCTGCTTACAACACAGTGGTTGATTAACATGATAACAATGGTTTTTCCACTTGTTATTTTTCTAACGACTATTAATTAAAAGGTCAACATCTCTACTGTGTACATATGCAAGGCTTTGGAGTCAAATCCTCTAAAATAATTATTTGTTCAAATTTGGAGACACTTTGTGTTTTGTTGCAGGATGAACTTCAGGTATGCTTCCTGTTTATTCTTCCTTGTTTAATGTTGAAACAGTTCACAATCAAAGAATCTTTGCTGGAATTACCAATATTGTACACAGTTGTTTTAAAAAGGTTTTTACTTGTAAATTTCAATTATCTAATTATGTTGCAGCACAATCAAAACATTTGTCTTTACTGCTTTTAACTGTATTCCTCTTTTATAATGAATTGAGTTGCTCAGCTAGACTTTTTAATATTTTGATGTATTTTAATTTAATCTCTTTTTCTTAAGAATTAGATTTTTTATAAGTTTAATGATTCTTCTAGGCTTCTTGTAACATATTTATTTCCTTACTAAAACATCAGAGAAAGTCAAGAAAATGGAAGATGTTGGTTCTACATTTAATAATGAGGATTTCTTTTATACTGGGCAACTCCAGCTGTACAGTAAATTATTATTTACAGTAAATGGTCATATTGCTAATGAGGTATGAGTAAAGAAAATATAAAACTTTTAGAAAAATAACTTCTATTCATGAATAGCATTCTGCTTGATTTATCTGCTACAAAACCTATTCTCTGTTTCAGACCAGCCCAGGAAAGCTGAGGCATGTTGTATAATTTGTTGTTCCCAACCTAATAATGTATTCTGTCATATAAAATAAGTTTCCATATTGAAATATGTATATCTATTTAAATAAAGAAATAGTTATCTATATAAAGAAAAGTACTTATAAGAGCTGCTCCCTTGCCCTTCTAATGGGAGTTAAGAGATGCTAAAAGTGTTTCAGATGATAAATGTATGCAGGACTACTTCACAAGGGCTATTTTGTTTCTCATGTGCCTTCATAAGTTGTAATTTTACATGCATCTGCAATGATCGTGCATCAGAAATCAAGTTATCAAGTATAAATGATGATCCTTATTTGTTCTGGTGCAGTGTGTTTGTTTCACTATCCAAAGTTAAAACTTTGTACCAACTGTTTTGGGCCCCTTTCACATCATTTCAAAGCAAATCATTTAAACTTTCTAATGTCAGTATTCCTGAAAGCATCTATTACACTTGTGTTATGGACAAAATGAGTTAGCATCAGTAAGCCCTATATTTTTCTTTAATCTATTGAGGGAATTAGGCCGACCACTAAAGTTGAAATTTATAAGTTGATCTTTTCATTTCTACTTTATTATTCCAGCCCTTTTGGAAGTGGTCAGGAAGAGGCTGAAAGACCAGGAAAGTAAGGTATTGAGAAAGAAATTAGCCATAAGCTTCCTCTCTTATTATTTCCACTCCCTTGTTTGTTTGGTATTCAATTTGGCCTTTCATAGATGTTCTTACTTTGTAAAACATAACAGTTTGTATCAAGTTCCCTGTATATACCTCATTGAATAAATTTTGATAAATTTACCACATCAGTTTTCAGCAGTGTCTGCAGTTTGCCTTTTTTTTTTCCCCTGGTCAAAACACATTAAAATGTTAAGCTACACAAAACAAAGAACTACCTCTTATATATAAGAATTATAATTTTTTGTTCCATAATGCAACACAAAATATTGCAAATGTTTTCTTTAATCTTTTAGATAATTCAAGAACTCAGGATTGAGCAATATAGATTTTAAAACATTTTGGCAAAAAAAAATAGGTTTGATATCATCTGTAAACTACTGAAAATACAATTGCTCATGTTGGAAAGGCTTGTTTGATAATACTTTTTTATATGCTAAATAATACACTGGTTAAACAACACACAGGTCTCAAACACCAAATTTAAAACTAAGACACAATTTGTATTTACTCCTTTTGCATCACTGTTGGTGCATTAAAAGTATTTAAATATTTCTGGGGATAGATACATGCCTGCACAATATTATAATACATGTATCTGACTTGATGACAAGGAACTTACTTTTGAAGATGACTTTCATGGATAATGAAAGAAACTTTATTACAAATGTACAATGTTTTTACAAGATTATGTCATCATCGGCACAAGTAGTTTACATAGACACAGGAATATGTATACATTATGGAACAAAGAGGTCACATGACTGGAGATTGCTTAACAGCTTGGTATAGGTATCTTGGTACCCTGGAGTTCTGGTTTAGAGTAGGGCTATTTTGTTCAATTACGATGTTTCCTTTATTATACATTTATTGATGTTTAATTCTTTGTTTAAAATTATGGTATAGATATACTGTGGTTTTTCGAGTTGCAATGGTGGTAAACATTATGTTCAGTGAATCTGGTTTCTCTGCTGTAGAATTCTGGACAGTTATTGCATGTTATTTTATAAATGACGTTGGTATTATGTGATTCTGTATAATTTTTAATTAGTAATGATTTTAGTTTAAGTCAACAGGAATTTTATGTTTAATGAGAAATTTTCTTCAAGTGTTGATTATTTTTTAACTGATTTCAGGGATGAATGGTAAACTGTGTAATGTTGGGTTGTTGTTTGGTGTATCAGTGTGTATTTTTTTTTTGTGAGTTGAGTTTTGATGTTTTAGTTCTGGTAGTGTGGAAATTTTTGGAAAATAGTTGGAGGAAATTTGTTGATGTGAACAAAATAGCCCTACTCTAAACCATCATCCATGGGTACCAAGATATCTTTACTCAGCTGTTAAGCAATCTCCAGTCCTGTGTCTATGTAAACTACTTGTACTTGATGATGACATAATCTTATCAAAATTTTGTACACTTATAATAAAGTTTCTTTCATTACCCATTCAAGCCGTTTCCAAACCTTATACATGTATCTAGTTTAAACTTTTTCATTTAAACCTCAAGGCTGTAAACATAGTGGTACACAACCTAGCCCTTTTATAATTTGCTAGCTCTAAAAACATGTTTCACAGACGTAATATCTGAAATTCACAGAAACTGTAAATTAGTATTGTATCAAAACCAATAAAATCCTCTTTCTATACAGTCAGATCAATTTTTTGTTTCTGTTTTTTTAAATATGCCCCTGGACACGTATGAAATCTGAGGTCATTGTCAATAAACTTATACTTGCTAAACTTCAGTCTTTGTAAAAAAGACTTTCAAGAAAGTATATTTCCACAGTTTTTGTTATAATTTAATCTTGCATTATATGATGATCTTATTGAGTTGACTGTGTTGTAAAAAAAATGAATCTAATTTCAGCATCAGTAACCAACAAACTTGTTTGTGTTGTTAAGCAAAATATTTAAGCTTTGCATAATATTCATATCTTTCTATAATGTGGAAATGAACCACCTTTACAGTGTTAAAAATGAAAAATACATACAAAGGTTCCTCCTAACCCTTAAGTTTACAAAACTTCCTACACATATAAAGCATTAACATCTTGGCTGAGACTTGAAAGTAACTTAAATTTGAGAAATTTTAAAAAATATTCTATATAGATTGCTGGGTTTAAAATTTTCTTAAACTCACAAAGTCTAAAATTCTTGGAGAGATATAATTTTATCTACATTATATAACTATAAAAAAATCCAACATAAGTTTCTGCAAGATTCCAAAAGTTCATCTAGTAGCTAGTGAGTTAAGCATTTGCTACATTCTCTGAATTCTATTGGTTCTCATACAGTCAACCTTGTGGTTATTTACACTTGCACATTTACTCTACTCACACTGGTAGTAGCATGACTAGGTGATTGTGTTAATAGCTATTAACAAATTTCTTATAAAATTAGGATTATCTTCAGGAAGCTTTGAAATCATTCTGAAAACTCCACATGCTACTTAGAAGGGGTTTACTGACTTCAGTCACATGCACATTAAATATACTTTGACACAGTATGGCTCATTGGCTTTGTGCTTTGGACTCATTGTCAGATGGTTGCAAATTTGAAACTGGGTCGCATCATGCTGTTCTAATCTTGAGCAAGACACTTTACCCCACATGTTCCAGTCAACCTAGCTGTATGATAGATACCAACTGTCAGCTGTGGATGAACCTGTGGTGGCATCTGGTCCATAGTGGGGAATGGGTCACCATTCTCATCCACTTGTGCCACTTCAAACTGGAGTCCAAAATCATCAGCTCTGTGTGCCTTATAATGACATTGCAAGGATTTAATTTAACTTATTACTGGCTAAACAACTATGAACATTTTGACACAATTAGTCCTGCATTTAATTATAAAGTAAGCATTGGTTGAAATTCTACTTGATCATTGCACATATTATTAGTGATAGTACAAGCATTGGTTCACAACTGTTAATACTTAAGCATATGGCAAAAAATTGATGTAATCAGAACTGATGACTACTTATTACTGTGTTAAACGTCTTTTGGAATAATGTAATTACTCATACTACATATAGTTGCACATATAAGACTACATGACCAGAAACTATATAGAAAGTTATAGACATATTAAAAAAAACTTGAACATTATAGCCTTAATTTTGTGTACAAATCTACTTAAATAACCTAATACTCATTATGAAAAGTTACTTTCAACTGAAAAGTAAAATACATTCAATAATACTGAACATCATTACAATATAAAATTATCTAGATTTAAACAGACAAATTTTAATTATCACATATCTTTATAGAAAACTTGCTCCTCTGCATATATGATCACCTTCAACCACATTTCACAGTATCGTATTGATGGTCTTCCAACCACAGAATGATACCAATATTCTGCCCCTGTAAATTGAAGTACACATAATAAAGTTTGTTTGCATTTTCAGCAGAATAGAATTGTCTCTTGTACAAAGAAAAGGATGTCATTGTGAGGTAAGTATACTTCCTTTAAGTATGATTTATTTATTATTTTATTTCACAAACAGTTTTATATATATTTTAACTAATGACTACAGCAGAAAAGCTAATGAGCACAAGAGATGAAGGGTTAATGTAAAACATAAAGATATAGTTTTGTAGTTTTATCATGAGAGCTACTTTTAAAAATTTCATCTCATAGATAGGGATATCACCTGTTTATGCTCTATAATATAATTAATTCATATAAACTAAACTAATATAGTTATGTGTACAAACTGTTCTGTGTAGCTATATTACAGTTTTGGACAAAAGGAACCATCTTCATTTTACCTGATACTGATGTATATTAAAACACACAACTGGTAAAGATTCAGATATTGGTGGCTTTCTAGTATTTATTTAACTCGGCACAATCCTTCTAGTAGGCTTCTTGTAACAGCATGAAGCACATGGACATGAGGAATCTAGAAGAATGAATCAAGTCTGTCTTTAAGTGCAGAAATCACTTGGGGTTACATTTAAAAATGCTCTTAAACAAGATCTCGAGCTATTCAGTGCTAGTGAGTTAACTCTTTCACTGTGGCTGGGATGTATATTTTCAGGTGCTCTGAGAAATATATGTCCCAGCTGCAGTGAATGGGTTAAAGGTATGGAAACATGAAACTAAACTCACAATATCTAATCTGAAAAACGTATGTGAAGCCTCAGTATTAATGACGAGGAAAAATAACTTAAGACACTATCAAGCCTGGTAATATATGAGACCTGTTGTTACACTTTGTGTCCCCTAAAACCAAGAAGGGAATATATAAATATTGTTGTCTGCCTGTAGCCACCTACTTTCTGCACCATATGTAGAGTTCTTCCAGCAGATTTCAGTACTTCACCAGTCACCTCTTGGGCTGGAGAAGCTCCCTATTGACTTTGGGCTTAAAAAGTCAAGGTTACCATGTTAAGAATAGAAATTTGATTTCTGTGCAAAAGAAAACATAAAAGATACAAACATATCAAATTCACCAGAACAACTAAAAATAAAAAGCTAATCATTGGGTGGATCAGCCATTCTATCAATGGCAGTTTTTACTCATGTAGATAGGTGAACCTGATTAACAAAGTAATTTTTCAGGAAGAATGCAAGATCACATTACAAGATGGTAATGAAATTTTAAAATACAAAATAAGTTAAACAAATACATTAAACGAGTTAAGTCTATTGGGGTGGGAACTGAATATAAATGTTCAAGTTAATCTTGTATTAATTTTCTAAACTACAAGGTACAGTTTAAGAACTTTTCAAAATATTTGGAGGATTGTACAAATAAGTCAACACCAAGCTGTTTTTGGGTAACCAAAAACCACTTGTTTTTTTGAGGGCCTGATAGTAATTAATTTGAACTGTGAAGTATAAATTAAAATATACCTTTTGAGGGCAGTAATGCAAACCCAGGTACTTTTCTATTCTTTATTAATTAGTATGTTAATTATATATCTGTAATTGAAAATGCAGAGATAAAGAACTTCAGCAGTTGATGAGGAACTGACCACTTCAGTATTAAAATGTTTTGTTTTTCTTTCATTTCCCATAATGTTATTTAACTCTGGTGCTTACAACTACCATTCCTGATGAAATTACCAAATAAATTTAATATAAAAGTGGTCCAAAAATCCAAACTATTTACTGAATGATA